GAGCGCCGTCGTTTTCAATCACTGCCAGAGCCGGTTCAACATCATAAGCGGCGGCTCAGCTTCTTAGTTGGTGCAATGCTGCTGTGCTAACCTTCACTGGCCAAGGCCATGTCAAGGGCAGCGGGCGTCCGACTTTTTCCTCTGCGAGGACCAGAACGCCTCGTGAGGACGACGACTCCCGTCGGGGCCGGCCCAGCGCTAGGTGGACCAACACCAACAACCGTTGGTAAAGGTAGGGTCTTTATATCAGGAACTCAGGAACTACTACAGGGCTCACAAATAGGACCCTTTGCCTTGGGGCCTGGGTTACCTGGGTTGGTGTTGGCCTTGGTCTTCGCGAATGCCTCGCACGGATTCCCATCGGGGCAGTAGTTGGTCCAACAGCTGACAGCTGGACCAAACGCTAGCCCAAAGGGTCATGTCGTAGAATGTAAGGTTTCTATATCAGGAACTACTACGGCATTGGGAAGTAGCGCCCGTAGCACTACACAGGCTCACATAGGACCCTTTGGCTTGGGTTGGTCTTGGTCTTCGCGAATGCCTCGCACTCGCACGGATTGTCGGGGCACTAGCTGGTCCAACAGCTGACAGCTGGACCAACCGCCAGCCCAAAGGGTCATGTATTAGTATGTAGGGTTTTATTGTAGATACCACCATTACGATTTAGGGATAGCCCATGACAATACACAAGGCTGACCCTACACATAGGCATAGGCAAATACGAGCATAGGACCCTTTGGCCGCGGCATGGGTTGGTCTTCCGAGCATTGCTCCCTGTCTTCCGAGCATTGCTCCCTGAACCGCCGCATCCAAAAAGAAGAGCTTGATGTAAAGCATGCTGTTGAGTTTCTCACTAGCCCTTTACCACTGCGTCTGTCGTGCCAGGTTTGATCAGATGCCCCATCTACAGATGGTTCGTGACTCAGCAGAATCAGCAAAAATGCTGCAGAAGAGCAGGCAAAGGCAGCTTGTGACGTGCCAGGTTTGACATCATCTACAGATGGTTCGTGACTCAGCACAATCAGCACAATGCTGCAGAAGGGCAGGCATGGCCACTTATACCTCCGTTCCGTGTTTGGCTATCCGGGTGCCCACTTCTGCTCCCTCAGGCGCAGCTCAAGAAGGACATTTCGGCGACGAGCTTGGTTGCTAAAGGAAGTGCGCTAGCGTGTCATGCCCCCGTGCCATCCCATACTGACTGCCACTGATTGGCCTGTACTGTAAAGTGTAAAGTCCCCCATCTCTGAAGAGCATGTGGTGACGGTGCTTCGAGTTGTGCCAATAATGCGTGATGTTGAACTGGTCCCTTTACCGCTGCCTCTGTCGTGCCAGGTTTGATCGGACCCTGTGGCGGCAGCTGCATATGGTGGGTGTCTCAGACTCAGCACTGACTGCACAGTAGCTGCACACGAGCAGACAGAGAGCCTGGTGAATTCACTGATTGATTGAATGAGCGAAACCACCTGAGTTGCTGTTAAGCTGGATGGGTGAGTGTCATTGCTTGGTTCGTTGGTTGGTCGGTTGCTGCGTTGGTTGGTTGGTTGGTTGGTTAGTTGGTTGATTGAACAGGCTAGGTTGATGTGATGGTGGGTTTCGAATTTGTTGCTTCTATCGGATCATTAAGTGATTCCCACTTCAAGCTTCGTTTGCAGCCATTCTGGCAAGCAGTGCAAGCTAACCATTGATATTGGAGGAGCTAAGGAGCCAAGAAATAAGGAGCTAAAGAGCCAAGGGAACCCCACAACCACTGGTTAGCAAGTGCTAAGTCCCCCAACCCTCCAAGTAGTCAGCATGGCGTCTTCGCCTTCGCAGTCGCAGTCAGAGCCAGAGCCGCAGTCGCAGTCAGAGCCAGAGCCGCAGTCGCAGTCAGAGCCAGAGCCGCAGTCGCAGTCAGAGCCGCAGTCGTCTTCGGCTTCGCCTTTCGGCGAGCCGAAATTTGTTTCGTGGGTCGACAACAAATACGGCGTATTGTGGGATATCTCCAACGGGCTGAGAGGGCTCGCGCAGCAGAAGCCTTGGCACCTGCCGCACGGCATCGAACGCCTCACGACCGACGAGGAGGGTGCTGCCGGCTTCTCGCTGGAGCACTGGAAGTGGGGCCGGGATGCAATTTTGACCGCAGCCACCACTCACTTTTTGCGGGACGACAAGTCCCGCCGGTTCTCGCTCTACGATGACGATCGAGGGAGGTTATTAGAGGTTATGCGTGAAGGTGCACGCCCAACCTTCGCGGCGTGCACCTTTCAACCAAGGCGGCAGTGACGGCAGAGACGGCAGAGACGGCATTGACGGCAGAGACGGCATTGACGGCAGAGACGGCAGTGACGGCAGAGACGGCAGTGACGGCAGAGGCGGCCGACCTGAAGAAGGCGGCGTATTTTTGTGGGATATCTCCAACGCGCTGAGAGGGTTCGCGCAGCAGAAGCCTTGGCACCTGCCGCAAGGCATCGAACGCCTCACGACCGACGAGGAGGGTGCTGCCGGCTTCGCGCTGGACAACTTGGAGCAGCACTGGAAGTGGGGCCGGCATGCAATTTTGGCCGCAGCCAACACTTACTCTTTGCGGGACGACAAGTCCCGCCGGTTCTCGCTCTACCATGACGATCGAGGGAGGTTATGCGTGAAGGTGCACGCCCAACCTTCGCGGCGTGCACCTTTCATCCAAGGCGGCAGAGACGGCAGTGACGGCAGAGGCGGCCGACCTGAAGAAGGCGGCAAAGGCAAAGGCCGCGAAGGCCGCGAAGGCGGCGAAAGCGGCGGCAAAGGCAAAAGTAAAGGCCGCCGCAGCTTTCACATCTGGGCTCATTTGCGGTTACTCATGAGAATGCGTCCGGATTTGAATGTGCCTTCACCTTCGACTTTGCGCCCCTCGGCTTCGACTTCAACTTCGCCTGCAGCTTCGACGGTTCGTTCACGGTCGCCGCTGCCACGGCCACGACACCCTGGCCGTGCATGTAGTCCATCCTCGCCTTAAGACCCGCGTGCTGTGTGGAAAGCAAAAGCCGTTCACGTTCAGCCATTGTCATGCTGTGGTTGGTATTTGTCAGTGAGTTAGTCCTGCCCTGCACTTCCTTAAGGCGAACGACGACTCCAGCATGCGACTCAGATCCGTCAGTTAGGAGGTTGTGAGCAAGACAGCTTTGAACTTGAAATGCACCAGTTGGAAACCAGTGAGAGTGTTCAGTTAGTGCAAGTGTTCAGTTCTGCTCCCGAGCTTGCGAAGCCGTGCAGTCCTGCCCTTCCTTAAGGCGAACGACGACTCCAGCATGCGACTCAGATCCGTCAGTTAGGAGGTTGTGAGCAAGACAGCTTTGGACTTGAAATGCACCAGTTTGAAACCAGTGAAAGTGTTCAGTTAGTGCAAGTGTTCAGTTCTGCTCCCGAGCTTGCGAAGCCGTGCATGACCTGGACTTCGACTTCGTTTTCTGTCAAGGCCACTGAAGGTCACTGAAGTCACTGAATTGCCTTATAAAGGGACCTCAAACCCTAAACCCCGGCTCTCCTTCTTAACCTGCAGTCTGCAAACACACATCACGCCTTCAAGCCCAGGCTGGTTTAGGGTTTAGGGTTTCAATCCTGAGCAAATCCGATTCAAGCTGTCAGCCCTGAAACTACGGTGTCCAGGCAGGGTTCAAGGTTCGGGGCGGGTCATATGGGTGGTGCAGTGTGCGGCAGCCATCCCGGTCAGAGCGAGCATCCGCATCCTGAGTGGCGGAAGTCAAGTGCCCAGTCAATTAGCACGAACCAGTAAGTAACATAAACTACAGTAACAGGAACTGGAGTGTGCTGATAGCCTGCCTCGCCTTCGCATCATGTCTTTGTTTTACACTTTCTACTACCATGCGGAGTCCGCCAAAACACCTAACCTCCAAAACGCCCTTTGCAGTGGCAGTTCCTCTAGGTTCGGTTCAAGTGCCCACCCATCTCGCTGCCAGGTGCCAGCTGGAGCCATTCTGGTATGTGCCGGCCACGGCATGCAAGCCTGAAAAGTTTAAAGTTTTATTGCCGGATAGAGAGGCCGAGTAAGTAATGTAATGGTAAGTTTCCAAGACTAGACTCCAAGGTTTGTAGCTTCTGGTCATTTCTGGTCACGGGTCGATAAAGCAAAGTAGGTAAGGGACGTCCGTCCTCTGAGGGTTGGGTTGGGCAACATGGGTTCTGTAAACAGGCGCCGAAAGGCGGTAGATGCAGTAGGCGCCGAAAGGCGGTAGATGCAGTAGGCGCCGAAAGGCGGTAGATGCAGTAGGCGCCGAAAGGCGATATGAGGTTTGTAGGGGAGTCGGCTGAGTGGATCCGTAACGGGCAAAGTGGAGCACAGTATAGGTACAAACGTAGGCGCCGAAAGGCGGTAGGTCTCCAAGGCTCCAAGGTTTGTAGCCTTTGGTCACTCTGCTCACTGGTCATCTCTGGTCGATTGAGCAAAGTAGGTGGGGGACATCGGCAATCGTAGATCTGTAACTTTGGAGAAAGGATTGGCTCTGAGGATTGGGCACAGGGGTCCTGATGGCGATGTGGATTGCTGATTGCTGGGTTTTGGTGCTGCGCCGAGGTCAACGACCTCGTTTCGCCGCTGCGTCATCTTGGTCGAATGCACGGAGGACCTCCTGGCTACAGTCAATTTGTGGAGTGCATGGCGTTGTGGCATGGAACTTTTGTTACTTGATCGCTGTAACTGCAATATTCCAGCTCAGTGTGGGTTGAACTTGAACACGTTGAACATGTTGTAGTTCTAAACTCTGGGCCTCCAATCCCTGGACCTTAACAGCCTTAACACACTGAGCCTTTGAATGTCAACAGGGCAAAGGCGATTCATGCTTGGGTTTTGCTGGATTTGCCCGGGTTCCAACCAAACTTTTAAATACCACAGCAACATTTCGGTCTTCAGGGCGATTTTCATTTTGGATATATCAGGGAGAATGGACCGGAGCTTGCTGAATTCCACTGCTACTGCAACTTATTTTAAAATTCGGGGCGACTGGGTTGTTTTGGTTAGGGCTGCCATGTCCGGCGGCTGGCTCAGCTCACGTGACTACTGGGGTGCGCGAGGGCAAGGCCGCGCAGAACGGCGGCGGCAGGGGCATTACGGACCCCTCCCGAAGCCGCAGGCCAAGGTCGTGGCCGAGTTGCAGTTGGTTGCCAAAGCTTTAAGTCCTAGCTTTAGGTGCCACATATAGTGTTGCCTCCCTAGCGACTGCTCCAGCGTCCATCCCAGGTTCCTGCGAAATTTCCGTCTCCAGCTGCAGCTGCAGCTGTGCCCGGGCTGCTGGACAGTTGCTGTACCTGTTTGTATGGATTGCTGAAACGGATCTATGTCGGTTTTTAATGTCACCGAGGAGCACTCGCAGCAGCCCCGTGACTTGCCGAAGGAGCTGGCGCCTCCGCACAATGGATTGTTAAGTCTTAACTCTAGGTGCAAAATGTGGTGTTCATACATATATAATACATACATACACGCACAGTATACATTACATACCTACATACATACATACATGCACACACAGACGCTGGAGTTCGCGACCGTAAACTCTCTCTGCAAGCCCTTCACTCACCCGCTACTTGTTTCACAAGCCCCAACCCTGCTGCCAAAACCTTGTGCCATGTGGTGTCTCTGTCTCCGAGGAATCCACGGGGGCCAGCGCAAAGCCGGCACCGAAGCCGCCAGTTCGAGCGCCTGAGGCGTTGGGGGGTCCGTCGAAAGCAAGCTTGGAAGTAGTGTCCATCCACACACATACATCATAGAGTCGTCACAGAGTCACACATACACACATACAGACAATATAGACTAGATATGATTACCTGTGCAGATAAGTCCAACCCTACAGGCTCCGGTGGCGAAAACATCGTCTCCTGCTGGATCTGCTGGAAAGCCTGAGCCTGCGGCTTCGACTTCGGCTGTGCCGCCCGCAGCGGCCCCTCCGCACTTTGCAAATTTGTTAAATTTTGGTTTGTTGTGAGAGCTTGACGTCTTACCTTTAGGTGCCGTCTCCAGTTGCGGAAGCTGCTGGAGAGCCTTCGCCTTCGACTTGGTCTGTGCCGCCCGCAGCAGCCCCTTCGCCTCCGCACATTTGCATTTTTCAGACAATATAGACTAGATATGATTACCTGTGCAGATAAGTCCAACCCTACAGGCTCCGGTGGCGAAAACATCGTCTCCTGCTGGATCTGCTGGAAAGCCTGAGCCTGCGGCTTCGACTTCGGCTGTGCCGCCCGCAGCGGCCCCTCCGCACTTTGCAAATTTGTTAAATTTTGGTTTGTTGTGAGAGCTTGACGTCTTACCTTTAGGTGCCGTCTCCAGTTGCGGAAGCTGCTGGAGAGCCTTCGCCTTCGACTTGGTCTGTGCCGCCCGCAGCAGCCCCTTCGCCTCCGCACATTTGCATTTTTCAGTTGGTTGTCAACGTCAAAGCTTTAAGTCTTAGCTTTTGGTGCAACGTGGTGTTGCCTCCCTAGCGTCCATCCCGACAGGTTCCGGCACAGCCATCGCCGCCGACGTCCGCAGACACATCGGCGGTAGCGCCTCCGCACAATGGTAAAATTTTAATTGGCTAAGACTTCAAGTCGCAAAGTCCTGCGGCCTGCGGCAATCGAGGCGAGTGACCAGGCGCGGTCTTTGCCTTCGGAAAGCTGGCCCTTTGACCACCTCATGAACGTCATGGGTCAAGCAGTCGATACGGAGTCTTGGCGTGGCGGTTTCATCAGCACTTTAATACAGGGGCCTACATAGTTACCAATACTAATTTGGGGATTCCTTCTTACATATAATATACACCTAAGCCCTTCCCATTCCCATTCTTAACTTCAGGTGCAACTGCCGTACGGTTGGCGACAAGTCCGGCTCACCTCCGAGCAAACATACTACTTCAACGAAGACGCGCGGATATGCAGTTGGCAACAGCCGGTGATCTGGGAGGATACCTGGCTTTCAGCTTAGCAGCGTTTGGGTTCTAGGGTTTTCGGCGTTCCAATATTATGATGTCTCGCAGTTTAGCAGTTTAGCATCTTAGATTTTGGCAGGTCAGCCCGGCGGAAGCCACACCTCCCGAGATGGGTCCTTGGAGTCTGTGGCACGTGTGGGGAACGGCCAAGCGTGTGAAGTTCTTCTACAACACATCCAGCGGACAGTCCGCGTCTTATGAAAAATTCGACCTTTGTCAGCATTGAATGTTGGGGTGTAGGGTGAGGTGCAGGTTTTTGTGGGGGGGGCGGTGATTTCTTTATTGGCGGGTTCTCTGACTCTGAGGGCGCGGTGTACGAAGAGCTGATCGCAAATAGGGACCGCGCCCGCAATGAGCGCATGCGCAGAGAGGCCCAAGAACGTCAGGCCGGAAAAGACAACCTGAAGAAGGCCAGAAAAAAATAGGAATAGCAATTGGTCATGAGTCACAGGTCATGGGGTTTGAAATAGCCTGACAAACTTTTCTGGACTTCTCCTTGGCCGCTGGCTGGCCGCCTTAGGTGGACCAACAGTCGCAAGGCTCGACTTGGTGTTCAGAACTTCGGATAGTCAAATCGATTGATGCTTTAAAAAGCGTTTTAAAAATTAAGTTAGCACTTAGTACCGGGTCGTGGGGCTGACATAGACATAGCCTGACACATGACAAAAATATGATGGCCTTCGGCTTCGAGAGCACCGGCTGCTTTGTCCGCCTCGGCTTCTTTTGCCACCGGTTGCATGCTAGCCTCGGGCAAAAAGCTGCGCCGAGAGAATCATTCAGCCACTTCAAACGCAAGGAAGTGCTGTTGATGCTTGCCCTGAAACTCCGCAGCACACAGCTTCAGTGATCGCACAACTGCGCAGACTGAACGTCCCCCTTGTTGCAGGACATGGTCTTCCGTGTGGAGTTCATCTACCTAGCTCGCCTTTTCTCAAGGCGTGGCGTCCTGAGTCCTGAGATCTCTTAAGATTCTTGAGCAGCTTGAGCAATTTCGCAGCAGAAGCTGGATGATGTGAGAGCACTCGTGGTTCAGGTTCTGCCTTCGCCAAGGCTGAGAGGTTTCAGCTTTCTCTTCGTCACGTGATGCTTTTGCCAATGCTATGCGAGGTCACTCGTCCGAAGCTGTCCAGCTCTTCTGCCACCGACTTTGCTTCGGCCTAGCCCTCATTGCTGCGTTGCTACCTCAACGGCGACTAAACTGGTTGTTGACACCCTGCCTTGTGTCGCACCTCCGTCGTCCATTGTTTGGCTCAATTCAGATGTTCCTGGATTCGCAGGTGCAGTGTGAGGCAACAGTGATCTTTATCCTAACGTTGATATCGTGATTGTCTAGAGTCTTGCAGGCTTCAACATCAATCATGCTTTGTTGTCGGTGTCTGTAAACCTAGTGTCGTCTGATGCTTCTGGCTCTCGAGGTGCCGCACGCTGTGGCTTCATCTGCCTGGACCTTGGATTCGTGATCCGACTATTCCACTTCCTGTTGTCTCGCCCGCCTCCAGGTCCCCGAGTTGCTGGATGTGGGTTCCAAGCCACCGTTGGCGAAGGTCCGAGCCTTGGATTTTCCGGTCCCGCTGGCCGCATCTCCAGGGGTAGACTCGAAGTCACTGTTTCAGTTTGGCAGGAAATAGCATGAATCAGCATTCGGTACATTTGATCAGACCAGCGTGTCAGCGTTTTTTGTTGAAAAACTGTGCCTCTGCCATGCTGTGTTGTCGGTCTCTGTAAACCTAGTGTCGTCTGATGCTTCTGGCTCTCGAGGTGCCGCACGCTGTGGCTTCATCTGCCTGGACCTTGGATTCGTGATCCGACTATTCCACTTCCTGTTGTCTCGCCCGCCTCCAGGTCCCCGAGTTGCTGGATGTGGGTTCCAAGCCACCGTTGGCGAAGGTCCGAGCCTTGGATTTTCCGGTCCCGCTGGCCGCATCTCCAGAGGGGTAGACTCGAGGTCACTGTTTCAGTTTGGCAGGATCAGCATTCGGTACATTTGATCAGACCGTGGAGTCTATACAGATGGTTCGTAAGAGACCCTAAACCCTTAACATCCCGAACCACCCCAAACGCTAGCCGTTTGTTCGCCAGCTTTCCATGAACGCTGCTTTATGCCCAAGTCAGTGGCTGAGTGGATACACTTTACACTCTTTGGGATAACATAACCCACTCTGAGTGGCACGGCAGAGAGAGAGAGAGAGAGAGAGAGAGAGAGAGAGAGAGAGAGAGAGAGAGAGAGAAGCCAAAAGTGTACACTTTTTGGACGCTTATGAACTCAGCCACTAAGCCAAAGTCTTGGTTTTCTCGCTTGGCCACTCACCGCCGGCCGCACTCTCGCGTGACGCCATTGCTGCCGCTGCCGGCTTTGCCTTCTGCCTTCGTCTTCGTCGTCGCCGCCTTCTTGCTGGGCTGCTGCCGCTTCGGCTTCGCCTTCGTCTTCGGCGTCGTCGACGTTTTTCTGAGGCAGCTGCAGCCGCCCGGCATCGACATGAGTCTTTGCCCGAAGCTTGGTCATAGTTGGGTAGCATTTTATATTTTTATGGGTATTTAAAGAATTAGATTTTAATTTTGTAATCCCATCCCAACCATCAACCAGGAACTGTGGACGCAGGTCTCCAGCTTCTTCTACCTACCCGCGGCACTGCTGCTTCGAATGCGAGATGAGCTACGGACGGCGTCACGGCAGGAGATGCCAGTCTTTCCAGAAGTGGCTGTCAAGAGCATGGCGACAGAATCTTTGTCATAGTTGCGTAAAATTTTACATTTTTATGGGTACTTAAACCCAATAAGTAGTCATTTTAGTTTTTTAATCCTATCCCAACCATGAACTAGGCATCATCAGAGTGCGTCAACTGCGGCTGCGTCAACTGCGGCTGCGTCAACTGCGACTGCGTCAACTGCGGCTGCGACGCGTGAGTCTGTGAGACTGCCGTTGCCTTCGCCTTCGCTGCCTTCGCCTTCGCTGCCTTCGCCTTCGCCTTCGCTTTTTTCGCCTTCGCTTTTTTCGCCTTCGCTGCCTTGGCCTTTTTTGGCGGGCTCGGCAAGGCTGAGTTATGGCCCACATGCGCCGCATCATGCCACAGATGATGTGATCCTGTCGCCGCTGTACATAAGCTTGGCTCCACTGTCTTCGTCCTCGCCTTCGTAGAGCGGCAGGGTGGCGCCACATCCAAAAAGAAGCGCTTCTCCATGTCCAGGTGGCAGTTTGGCACACTTTGGGACCTTTGGGAAATATATGTCTCTGTCGACGGTGTACATAATCATAACGTTGGCTGCACTGTCTTCTTCGTCTTCGCAGAGCGGCAGGGTGGCGCCACATCCAAAAGAAGTGCCTGTCCAGGTGGCAGTTTGGCACACTTTGAGATTTTGAGAAATATATGCCTCTGTCGACGGTGTACATAACGTTGGCTGCGCTGCACTGTCTTCGTCTTCGTTTTCGTACAGCGGCAGGGTGGCGCCGCATCCAAAAAGAAGCGCTTGTCCAGGTGGCAGTTTGGCACACTTTGGGAAATTTACAGATTTCCTCTTTGATTCCAATTGAGGTTCCTATTCACACATACTGTTCCGGGCAGTTCAGGGCCCTAAAACTACAACCCAGATGTGCCAATGCATGTAAAGCAGGATGTTGGCTTGCTCAGGGTCCCTGTACCAGCATAGCCCTACCTAATGTATTACGAGTGGGTGCGCATGCCACAGTACAATACCCCAGCCCAGAAATATATTTCAGAGGGGGATCGTTCTTGTCGGATTTCGATTTCGGCTTGCATGAGCTT